TAATTCTTAAATTTTTTGTTCGTTAAATATTAATATATGAATATGTATATATAAAATATATTTGTAAATTAAAATTAAAGTAAAAATAAAAGAAAACATTCGAAAAATAAAAAATAGTTGATTTAATTTTAATTGATTTTAATTCAAGTCAGTGAGTCGTCATTTCCGACTCTTTAGCCATATATTTTTGTTGGTCAATTTAGCCATGTTTGGGGGAAAAAATCTTGTATGTATTGTATATTTTTTAAATTGTCAAAATTCGAGAAATTTTGACATTTAAAACCCCAACAAAAACTAGCACATAGACACATTCCAAATGGAAAATTTGACAATTTTTGCCTGTGATTTGTTTAAAAAATGAGAACATCATAAAAATATCGAAAAATATCGGTTTAAATTGTGGCTTTTAAATGTAAAATCTCGAATGCAACCTAAACTTATTGATATTTTATTCAGCATCAAAAATTCGGAATATTGTTTGCAGAGTTTGTTTGATAAAAGTTGTAGCGCGTAAAAGCATAAATATATCTGGTGTCCCCCGAGATCGGATCTGCCAGCCATAACTCAAATCAGCTGTGGATTCTAATGAATTATAAACACAAACACGGAACGACATCGAGTTGGACGGGGGGGAGGAGGAGGCATTCCACGGAGACACGGAGACACGGCTCCAATGTGGATGTTAATATTTTAAATGCTTATCAGGGCAAATGTATCTATCGCATGCATGTGTATCTTTTACATATAATTGATATTATCTGCATTGATTCGACGTCGTTTTCAACCTCGTTCGCTCGCTGGCCGCTGTCTCATTTTCCCGGCTCCCTGTCCCTGTCCCTGCCTCAGTTTCTGTTTCTCTTACTCTTTTTTTCTCTGGGTCTTTGTTTTATGATCGAACATTTGGACATTCCAATGCTCCCCAGTCCCCAGTGCACTGGAAAAATATGTATCATCTAGAAGTTACAAAATTAAAAATAATCAAGATGAACAAAGGTAAAATTGAGATATTATTAAACATAGAAGGACTATCGATTTTGATCAAATTAATGGATTTTAAATCGATTTTTGTCTTTGAAAACATCAAAATAAGCATAATTTTAAGCCTAGAGTGGGGAATACTTAAAAACTTATTGATTTAAAGAATATGATTGCCTTAAAAGCATTGAAAATATTTATAATTCTCCTTAGTAAACTTAAATATAAATTTAAATATATTTCGATGAAAACCCATATAATTAACCGATTAAAAATCGTTTTTTTTTAATTTTTTCATTTTTATACATTAGAATATATGATGAATTTTCTTTGCTTTTCCCAGTGTATCCCCGCTCCAGGCCCGACCTCAAAGTCAACCTCAATCCGGGGCTCCAATGCTGGCCCATAAATATGTTGACAGAGACAGAGACGGGGCTAGCGGGCGAAAGCGAGACAGTTGATGATCATGTTGACAATGTTTCGCCGGAGTTCATTTCGTTTCGTTTTGGTTTCAATTCTGGGAATTGAAATTGTTTGAAAACCTTTTCGTGTTTTGACTCTCTCGCGGCTCCCACTTATTCCCATGATATGCATTCATTAATAATGTTAATCGATTTTTGGATAACTCACCTCGATCCGAGGCGAACTCTTGATCCCAGGCGGAGATGGCCAGTTGCCACCGAATGTCGCCAAGGAAAAAGGGGAATGGGAATGGGAAAGGAAAGGGGGATGCAAATTGGCTAAGTGCCTCCCATTTTTGAGTGCTCCCAGTCCGCCTCTCAATTAGTTCACCTCGGCGGCGTCTTCCCTGCCGGCTTTCCCCTTTTTCCCCCGTCCTGCTGGCTAAGCTTTTCCTTACATTTTTCTCTTGAACATAAATCAGAGCGAAAGAGAGCAAGAGGAGCGCCGGCTGAGGGACATCAAATGGGGCTCAAATCAAAATGTCATAATTCCAGCGGGCAACATCAGCGGCAATACGTCAACAGACTCTACTCTACCCTTTCGGGAGCGGGGGGGATCGGGGATGCATCCACACCCACCCACTCTCTCTCTGTCTCTCGGTGTCACTCCTCCGTTTAATTAGTCGCCCGCGCCGGCGTCGCAAACAAATCACATAATTATGATTGAGCGCAGGCAGGCAACTCTTTATATCTTCCTTCCGCGCGGGGCATGGTGGGATTCCCCCTTTCTTTCCCAATGGAAACCACCCTCCCCTGCCTGCCGCTGTGGCGCATTTTGGGGTTTCCTTTATGGGCCGTCAGAGACGCGTGGATAAATATAAATCAGGGAAGGCTCACAGCTGCCGTAATTGAATGCAAATGTCCATCCAAAAATACGATGGATCTAAAGTGTTCCCCCCGCAGCCATCGCTTAGCTCTCTGGGAAGACTAGACCAACCCATAGTGTTGTGTTCCATATCTTGGGGATATCAGTAGATATTTTTTTTATAATATTTGTTAGCTCTTTTTTAGTTAATTGAAATATTAAATATTTTTAAATATTATTTAAAGGAGGTTTTCAAATGGATAAACTGTCTAAATCGTCTCGCCTGTTGGGGTTGCTAAAGAATACATCAACTTTATGGGCTGCCTTCCTGTACAAATTTTTTTGGAATTTGTTTTAGTTTTTAATATTTTTTAATAATCTTAAATTAAATATATATTTCCTTTTTTTACAAAATAGTTGAGCCTGATTTTCTTTCTTCTTTTTTCAATAATTTTCTGTCAGCACTGACGCAGCTATATCCCTCTGGTTCCTCTTAGACCTCCCCCCCCCAGTTCCCGCGGAGGCGACAATCTGCTCTAAATTATCACGTGTAGGTGCCGCCGTCGGTTGGCCTCGCTTTTTCATTGCTCCATTGTGTTTGCTGGCGATGCGTGGAAAACTAATTTCCCACTCTCTCTTGGGCATATTTTCCTGTGCCATTCATCTTGTGCATTTTTCTGATATTCATAATTTGTGGCGTGTGCTGGCTGAATGGATGGATGGGGCAGGGATGGCAGGGAGGCTGGAGGACGTCGCCTGCTGCTGAGTGTCTCCTCCTTTTGTCATGTTGTTAAATTGCACCACGTGTTTTTGATAATGACGACATAATTACGCACAGGAAGGAAGGCAGTGGCAATGAGAAGAAAATGGGAAGCTGGAAAATGTATGAAAAAGAAGAGATTTTCTCAGGGATCAAGAAATTTCACTGATAAAATATCATAAATAAGAGGGAGAGCGAAGAAATTGATTTAATTTGTATATAAAAACTTCCAAAACTTCCCTTAGACTTTAGCTGGAAGTTATACCTTAAATTATAGAATTCCAGAAATTGTTATTCCCTCTGTGGCTAGAGCTTGTCAACCCCCACAGAGATCTAAACAAATGAAATGTCAAAAAGCAAAACAACAAGCCAAAACAAAGGCAGAAAGTATAAAGTATAAAGGATAAAGGATAATGGATAATGGGTTATGGGTTATGAGGCAGGGAGTGAGAAGGAACCGCCCGCGGTCATTTAGAGCACTAATTTAAATATCATTAGTAAACAATTAAAACAAAGAAATGACAGGACGCAGGACGAGGCATACGTAAGCCTCTTGTCAACGCCCCGAGGCGTGGCAGCAGCAGCAGCAGCAGCAGCAGGACCTGTGGCAACCAGAGGGAGGGTGCGCATAAATGTCAACGGGGAAAAACCGAAAACATCAAAGTCTCCAACTTGTGCCAGGGCAGGATATCTGCGTAGGAGAAGGCAACTCAAAGGACAAACAATGAGGCAGCCAGACGACGATGACAGTTTTTTGCGGCCTGTGACAGGAGTTGGTGGGATTGGTTATTGAGATGGGAACAGCGGCAGGTGTTGTGTGTGTCAGGGATCCGGGCACTGTAACTGGTCCTGGCTACTGGCTACGGGCTCCTGGTTTTTGGTTCCTGGTTTTTGGTTTTAGCTTCTTCTCCCTCCAATTTCCATTCCAACTGCCATTTGTCAGGCGAAATGGGAATCGTGCCTTATCGATGCGCGGCTAGCAGGCACATGGGCTCAGGCCACGTGTCCTTTGAGAGAGAGAGAGAGCTTGGACCAGGTCACCTGATGATGCTTTTCCCACCAGGCCAGAAGTGGGTGTGGGTGGTGGCTCCTGCTGCTGGTAACATGATCCCTGCGTGCCTTGGCATAATTTGTTATCTCGGTGCCCTTTGTGCTGACGTTGATTATTTCCCGCTCCTCTCCTGGCACACACCTTTTGTGCCGCTCACAAAATATCGATTACATTTCGCTGAAAGTTTTCGTTACGCAAAAAAACAGAGGAGAGAAAGACGAATAATGAAACGAAATGGAACGGAATAAATATAAATAAAAGGAGGGACACAAAAGAACCGCAGAACAAAGCAAAGTCTTGGAGGCCACATAACCATAAATAAGGGTAATAAAAGTGATGTTCAGTTGTCGCTGCAGCTGCATCTTTCCATTGCTCCCAGGCTCCAAGGCTCCCAGGCTTCCAGGCTCCATCTTCGCATCCTAAGGATACAGATACGGAATACAGATACAGAATACAGATACTTATTTGGCTGCCAAAGTGCAGATACTCGTTCCGATTTGGTCCAGGGAGTTGCTCTTGCAGATACAGATACTGCCTGGCCAATAATCATAACATTAAGTCAGCCGCCGGAAGAACTAATGAGATCCATGACGCTGACATTTATCCTGCCTTTAATATTAATACTTAATAATTTACATGGGAGCAACTAAATGTTAACTAATTAAGAGGACTTTCTAGGTATTCTTGGAACAATGTTTCGTTATTTAATTAGGACCAAGTTTAGGCCTTAAAATTTATTAAATATATAAAAATTATGAGATATTGAGGATTAATTTTAAGGGAATACTATATCTATATAAAATATATATTTTATAATACATTAAAATATATTTACCCCCTTGAAAATATAAAAAAAAACCAGAGTTGCCTTTGGCTATTCTTGAATTTTATTATTATAAATATTGTTACACTTATATATTTATTATTATTATTATAAGCATTATTTCCCTCATATTCTTAATGCAGTTCCCCTCGAGTATTCTACGATTATGTTGCACTTAGACCAACTGTGAATAATCGCGGCCTAATAATAGACATATGTATATATTGATAAGTATATATAAGTAGTAAAAAAAACAATGTAAAGTTGGACTTAAAACGCTCAATGGAATCTCCCTTTGCCATATCCTTGTATTTCATTTATATATATATTTTTTTTTTTGTTTCCCGGCTTTGATCTAGGATCTGCGAGCTGTGAAACAATCGTATACGTCGAGAGGGCTTCTCTCCTTGTGTAAAAGGAGCCGCCTGGCCAAATGCTCTTTTCCCTTTTCATTTCGATTTTCAACCCCTCCCCCCGGGGCCCTTGAAATTGTTCCCATTGTCTTCCCATTGAAGGACAGACAAAGGATGCTCGTGCGTTATTAAAAACAATATTCGAGGGCTTAGCCATAATGCTTGGATGGGCAAAAGCAGGAGCAGGAGCAGGAGCAGGAGTCGAGTCATATGGGGAGTGTCCTTATCTCGCATCTTGGCATTAACACTTTGGCAAAAACATACACACAGGAACACACACACACACGCGTGCACTCTCTCTTTCGCTCTCTCTCTCTCTCTCGGACAGGCCACAAAATGGCCGCCAAAGGACTCGTCGCCAGACACTCCCCCGCAACCGGAAATGGATCGATTTTGGAGCCAAGTTCTGTAAGTTTTGCTTGAAAACTTGAACTAATTTCCAAATTTTTCAGATTAAAATAAAAATATCTTTTAGAAAATATTAAAAAACTAAAATATCTTTTATAAAAATCAACAAAAGACTAAAATTTCGTTTAAAATTACCAAAAATTTCCCGATTTCTCGGCCTAAGATGAAAATATCTTTTATAAAATATTCAAACCAACAGAAGACTGAAATTTTCTATCAAAATTACCAAAAAATATCCTTGCTCCAGCCTGTCCCCCACCCTCAATGCTCTCCCTTACGCCTCCACTTCCTCCCTCCTTAGAGCTTCTCAAAGGCATTGGCATTGGTGAGCAGCTCCCTGGTGAGCCGCCACACCTGCTTGGCGGCCTGCTCCAAGGCCGAGGGCGACTTGCCCTTGAACATGTCCAGCCCCGGCAGGAAGTAGTGCGGACAGCGACGGTACTGCAGGCAGGAGATCAGCTGCAGGAAGATGCCATTGATCCGGTCCGCCACACAGCTCTCGTCCCACTCAAAGTCCCGGGGATGCTTTTCGCATTCGTAGAGCAGCAGGTTCTTCAGGTGATAGGCGCTGATGGGATTCCCGGGCAGCTCCAGGTGCTTGTCCCGCAGGGTCTTCAGCATGCTCAGGCAGCGACGGCGGCAGCCACCTAAAGGGATATATAGTATCTATACTGTTATCAGTATCCTTAAACCCAAGACCCACCTTGGAGCAGGCGATTCTCCGCCTCAAAGAAGCTCAGCACCCAGGCATCGCCCTCCATGCTGGCGGCATTGCTGCTCCCGCTATTGTTGCCACTGCTGCTGCTGCTATTGTTGTTGTTCTTGTTCTGCATGAGAATGCTCTCCTTGGATAACAAATCGAATCCCTCGGTCTTGACCTCCGCCACAATATTGGGATGTGGCCAAGGCAAATGTGGCACTGGCCAGTGGGCAGCGGATCTGGGCCAGATCCCAGAGCACTTGAAGGCCGGCGTTATCTGGACGATGAAGCGTTCCCGTATGCGCAGCTTCACCTCGGTGGTGTCACCAATCATCTTGACCATATCCCGGTAGACACTCTTGTCGCAGGCCTGCGCCACCAGGGTCTGGAAGCGAGCACGGATCTTCCTCGACGATAGATAACCGCTGGCCGTGATGAACTCCACCCACAGGGACATGGAGCGCTTTCGGCCGTCGCTCAGCTTGAGGACAGCACAGCCCGGCAAGGTGCCGTCGTCCACGAAATTGAAGACGCCCATCTGGTTGAGATACAGCACGATCTCGAACTCATTGGGGGAGATGACCTCGACGCCCTCGAATCTGGGGATGAGAGTATATAAAGTTAAGGTATCGTTAGGTATATTCCTTGGGAAAAATCAAGGAAAACTCCCAGCTCTCTCTCTCTCTTATTGATTTCTGCGTAATTCCAGTTTACAATGACTGTCATCACCTCTGACTCCTGCTCGGTCCAGTGACTCCTCTACACTCGTGGCCATTGGGGATCATTGCTGGCAAAAGTGCAGCGTCAGTGTCTGTTAAGTGTCAAGTCATGCCCATCGGGGATTCACCCAATTAAGACCGAGTGAAGGTGACTTTTATGGGCTTTCTTACAAGTAAATAAGTAAACGTAATTTATACGTAATAAATACTTCAAATATATGTTATAAAATAATTAAATATATGTAATATTAAATTAAAATTTCTAGTTTGAAATATTCATAATACTTTCTATAATTATTTACAATTTACCCTTTCATTATTGTTGTACTATTATTGCAAAATGTATTATAATAGTTAATAGTTTCGCCTTACCTGCCATTGCACTCCACAAGGCTGGAGATGAAGCGCGGCTCCTGCAGCTCCACCTCCTTGAGTATGTCCTGGACGATCTTGCAGATCTCACGGATGGCCGTTGCCGTCTTGAACATGCGGGCCTGGACGCGTTCGGCGCAATAACGATTCATTTGGTAGATCATGCGCGTCTGGGCGGCCATCATATCCGGCGGCACCAGCATTGTGGACACTGTGGTTGGTGGCTCCTCCTGTTCCTCCTGCTGCTGCTGCTGCTACTCCTATCTGGGATCTCCTCGACGGCGACGCTCGGTCTGGCGGTCAACTACAAAGTCAAGAGCGGCAAGCGGCAAGCCAATTATGCGAAATTCGGGAGCGGAGATGGAGCTGGAGACGAGGTAGATGGCCCGATCGCGGACAGAACAAAGGAACAATTCAATTGTGAGTTACGGTGACAGGCGGCGGCGGAGCAGCGGAGCAACAATGGGCACAAGTGGAGCACGACAGTGCTTGGTATAATGTATCTACAGCCAGTATCTGTATCTGTATATAGTATGTTTTCTGTATCTGTATCTGTATCTGTATCTGTGGCTGTGGCTGTAACTGCATCCGGCGGATGGCAGTCAGTCGCTGTGGCTCCTTGGGGAGCGACTCGGAGCCAAAATCTCTGGAATTAGCCGCAACGGATGCGTTTAGCGAATGGCTTTCGTGTCGAATGGCTCCGCTCAGTGGCCTAAAAACCCACACCGATGCACAAAGACAAGTGCAAGTACGAGCCGGAGTCCGAGTCCGAGTCCGATACCGAAACCGATACCGATACCGATACGATACGCGACGATTCGCACGACGTCGAGCCCTGGGTTGGCGTTGTAAATCTCGCGGATATTTACAGCTTCGGCAGATAAAGATAAAGTGCAGTGTCTGTGTATCTGGCGAATCCGCCATTTCATGGATTCAACGCTGCAGCGGCAGGCACAGATACCGATGCAGTGGATACAGATACAGATACGGCGGCGGCCACAGATACAGATACAGATACCGATGCACAGATGCAGATACATGTCCGCCTGTCACGTGACAGGCGTCTCTGTCTCGTGCCACGCATTCCAACGTCCAACGATCCAACATCAGCCCGAAACGAGGCGAGTCTCCTACTCTGACTTTGTATCCATAAAAAAAAAAAAAATCGATGAGATACTCCTTGTCCCCGTCCCAATCCTGCATACCCCTTCGCATCTGCATTTATCCGTATTTATATATCTGCCAAAGCTTTGGCTTTAAACGCCGAAAAACCCGGCGGAAAATATACAATAGTAAGCCACGACTTTAAGATACCCAGCAATGGCATAGGTTTATTGGGGGATATATATTTGTTCTTAATTTCAATAAATACATTTTTAATAAATAATAAAATGAATACATAACAAGCTATACTTTATTATTATAAAATAATTTTTTTATTTATTAAAAATGTATTTATAGAAATCTAAAATTATTTTTGTATTTTTAGATTTATTTTAATATTAAAAAAATTAATTTTTTGAAATCTTAAACTATCTATAGATCTGGCATTTTAATAAATACATCAATAATACACAATTAAATAAATTATAATAATGAATTATAGCTTTTTCTTTACCGTAACAAATTTCAACACTTGAGAATTCTAGTGCCATTGTAGAGGCAAGTGCTTGTAGATACTTCTTAAAGATACTTTTATTCTATTTAAAATATTTATATATATTTAAACTTTTATTTTTAATTTGTTAAACTTGTTAAAAATATTTCAAATGCTCTCCAAAATCGTATTTCAAATTTAAAATGTAAATAAACCTACCATTACAAGGTATTTTAACCGCAAGTTCGCCTCCCAATGAGTATCTCTGCCTCGTATCTGTGGGGCCAGGGCTCTGCCAGGCACTGTATCTGCGTATCTGCATCTGTGTAGCCAAGTATCTATCGTTCATATGGGTGTGTATCTGTGAGAGCGCTGGCCGAGCATTGGCCGAGGTTGGCTCCGCCCCAACTGTGGCCGTTCCGGAGCGGCGCTCTCTTTGAAGTGCCTTTCGTGTGCGTTTATATGTGTGTGTGTGTGTGTATCTGTGTGTAAATTTAATTTGTTAAATACATTTCGGCCTGCCATCGCATCGTACGAGCTGTGTGCAATAATTTATCTGAAATGTGCACTCATTTAGCAAAGAGCAACCCTCGTCCATGTTCGCCGACGACGGCGATATCTTTATATCTCACGGATACAACGACGGCGCACAGGCATATACACTTACACTCATAAATATGTCGCGTGGATTAATGTGCCCGCTGGCAATTTCTGACAGTGCCTTCCACAGAGCCCAGTTCGCCGGTCTCCTTCTTATGTACATATGTATGTAGCTTTTAAGTACGAGAAGGGACCATGTATGTATCTTAGCTCAGCGGAATCTGGGGACTTGCCACTCGGATGCGGATGCGGATATGGATATGGATGCGATGCAGATGACTCATGACTCCTGACGGACAGACAGATGGACATGTGGCCACATCAAAGCAGCCGTGGCCACCTCCAATTAGACAAACCCCAGAGGCTGTCACTAATTCGAATGGAGCCAAAACACGAGGCGAACATTTCTGGCATTGTTTTCTGCTTTGAAATGGTAAATGTCAACTTATAGATACAGCCATAAAGATACTATATTTTAGCCAGCAAAAAAATAAATAAGTAAAAGGAAAAATAAAACTATTTTGCAATATTTGATTTAAAAACAAAAAATATTTTGTGTGCTTGTACAAATTTTCTTCAACATTTTCTTCCAAGACACCTGTAAGTATTCGTCTTATAATAATTTGTATAATACAGAAATAATATATATAATATATCTATGTATATCTATATCTAGAAGATATTTTCTGCAAGATACATAATATAATTGTAGATAATACAAGTAATAAAATAATATGTTAATAATATATCTCCGTAAATAATATTCTGCCTTAACTTTTAATTGAATTTCCTGATTCCCTCATCGCTTTGTTGTATCTTTTCTTTGCCTACTGTATCTGAGCCTCCTCTCAGGTCTTTTGTTCGTTCGGCTCGGCTTTATTGACATCAATCAGTGGCAGTTTTGGCCAGAGATCTAGCCGTATCTAAATGGTATTCAGTCCATTCCAAAGCCAATTTGTTGGCGACGTGAATCGAAGCTGTCACTTGAATTTTAATGGAGTCCCAATGGAGGAGGAGGCAGGAGGCAGGCCAGGTGACACTTGGCTGATTTTTTGGCGCGCTGGATGCCTAACCAAGGAGTCGGTGTACCTAAAAGTGGGAAGGATTCGGCAGGAGATGCCATGTGCTCTTGTACACAATATACATATATATGTTAGTATCTCTAAGATCTCGAATGAAATTTGAATATAATTCATGTGCAATCGTCGCTTTTTTCGGTTGGCCGCCTCGTTCGGGGTCTCGTCGGACCCGATCTCGGATCTTTTCCATTCCCCCAAAATGAAGAACGATCCATCCATCTAAACGTTTGTCACTTGCTGCCTTGTCGCCGCAACGTTTGTCTTCTCGCTGCTCCGCCAGCTCTGCTCCTTCGTTGTCGCGTCATCGTCTCTGTTGTGTGTGTGTATTGTCCGGTGTCCACCATAGCCCACTCCCTGACCATGCCCATCCTCGTCCCTTGAGCAACCATCATCGCGATCGTTTATTTTGCCGCTACGTACATATATCAGGCTGTCCAGCTGAGTTGGATTCGTGGAAAAAAGACAAGTAAGCTAGAGCGCGTTTTATAAGATCATGTATCTAGATCTAAGAACCTAAGGTATAGTCTAGGGTTCAGTCACCTAGTGTGTCAAAAGCTCTACTTGTAATTCATTAACTATCAAAATGTTTTTAACATTTGTTCAAAAGAAAAAGAGTTTAATTTTCTGTTATTCGAGATTTTGGGCTTATAATTCTCAAGTTCTAAGTTGGCCCACCTTGAGATTATCTCTCTAGCTGGTAGATTTCTAAAAATATTATATGCCCTGAACTTTAGAAATGCCTATAATTTGAATAATTTTAGATATATTTTGTTCAAAAGAAAACAATTTTTACTTTTATGTTAATCAAGTTTTTGAGCTTATAATTCTCAAGTGCAAAGTTGGCCCAACCTTGAGACTCTCTCTCTAGCTGGTAGATTCCTAAAAGTACTATATACACCGAGGAAAAGGAGTTTAAATTTGGACTTGTATTTGTCTATATTTCATTCCATTAACATTCATATCTGTTTTTAAGATATTGGGCTTATAATTCCCAAGCATTAAGTTGGTGGACCGACTCAAATAAAGTAAGGGAAATTGATATCAAAATGAATTCTTAATCATCAGTTTGTTGAAAAAAGCTCTTGGAATTCCCAAGCTATTCTGGCATACCCATTCCCTAAGAGACAGCTGATGAATTAATAAGCAGACTCAATGCAATCCGTTGCAGTGCTAAGCGGATTTGCGTTTATGGCCATTAACCCGGGACAGAATGGCGGAGATGGGTTAAGGATACCAAGGCGACCGATCGATGAGGAGTAATGCTTTTTGCTGGCAGACTTTTGACTACTTTATTGAATTATGACAGCGAACAAATCAGCGACACGATCCGCGATCCTAAAGCATACCATATATATCCAACTTTGAGTGGCTTTTTACCCAGGCAAAAGAGTGCATGGACTCGCCGACATGTGTTCCGCCAGAATCTGATTGGAATATTAATTGTGACGAATGCAGCGATCTCTTGCCGCGACGACAAGTGCTGCAGTGGGACCCACTGATGTCATTTTACTTAACTTTAATTTCAAATAATATCATAATTTATCGTTACATCGAAGGGCTGGGCATTGGCCGGGACCTTGAACGATTCACATTTCAGGCACGTACTGGGGAATCGATCTCAATTTCGTAGTTCAGATATCACGCGCACACAGGGCCCGAAAAAGCCAGGGAACTCTGTGGAGGATCTGTGTCGATACTGGGTACTCCCCGGTACTCGATGCCACGTTCCTTGGGCTTTCAGGTTTCTCTGGTTTGTTCTTTTTGTTTGTTGTTTTTCGGCCTCTAGATGGGCAATATATGCGCAACGGCGGCCCTTTTCAAGATGACCACGATCACGTTGACATTTCGCCTGGGCGCGGGAGTCGCATCGCCGTCGTCGTCGTCGTCCAGATCCTTCTCCCGCCTTCTAATCCCCTTCTCCTTCTCCTCCCCCCAACCGTTGACATGTCGCTGGCCATGATTGATTTAGGGCCGCTTTTTGTTTTCCACCGAAGCGCAGGCCGTTTGAACCCATTGTTTTTGGCCCAGAAAAGGGCCAACAAGCGACGTGAGTAGGCTCAACTTGGCTCAGTAACTGGCAACTGGCTTTGCTTTTCGATTTCTCATGTTAATTGATAGTTGGCTATAGCTGGGATTAGCCGGTTCGATCGGTGAGTGCAATGTATGCGATAGGGTTTTCCGGGAAATTTACTACGGGTAGCCACAAAAAAATATATGTAAAAGATATAAAAACAGAACGGAATGGCTATTGGGTTTGTATTTATTAGATATTAATTTTAACAAGATCAAGGCTGATTGGTGTTAAAGAAATAAAAAAAAGGGGTAACAATAGAATAAACAATAAAGAAAGCAAACTTTTGAAGCTGGAATTTATATTAAATATCTAAAAGTAAGCCAAAAATGCATTAAATTCTATAACGAAAGCTATTCTAACTTATTTGTTTACCTAAATATTTATCAATATTTCTAAATAAACTTATAAAATCTGTAACTCACTGAAAAAATGCTTAAAATTCAATTCGGAAAAACATTCATTCCTATTAAACAGCTAACCAACTTCATTTCAAGTAATTACTGGGCTCGAAATAAACTCTGTTTCAAGGTCTCCTGACTATCTATCAGCTGTAAATGTAAAATACCTGGTTCAGGTGAAATTTAGCAGCCGCCAAAAAAAAAAAAGGATTCAGCGAAAGGAGGAGGAGCTGCAGTTCCAGCAAGAGCCGGAGCCCCTCTTCCAGGGAGGCTGCCTTGCGGCACTGCCTCTTGCCCGCCCTCCCTCGAACGTATTAAATTAATATTTACTTTTTGTCAAAAGGCTATAATCAAGCACGCTGGCGATGACAGGCTAAGAGGCTCTAATTACAGCTTGTTACCTTGATGCAGCGGCCACACAGGTCGTGGCTCACTTTGCTTCGCCTTGGCCTCGGACTGGATCGGGATTGGGAGCGGCAGCGGGATCGGGCTGGGTATGTGCATGTGGCCAGTGCAGATGTGGGCTTAGAAGTGGTACCTTGGCCTGGGACGGGAACTGCAGGTCCGCGTCCGTCTTCCGTTTATGCTAAGTGGCTAGCGCCGTCGGTTGGCCTCGTCCTCCTGCTCCTGTTCCTGCTCCTTCTTCTTCTCCTTTCCCTTTAACCCAAACATACTTGCGTGATCTCTGCAGCTGAAAACACTAAAAATAAAGTTGACTTAATGTTAAAAACTTTAAAAAAATAATCTAGAACAATTATAAGCTAATTTTTGATTCAGTTATTTATGGAAAATTACATTTTTCTAACAATAAGTTAAATTTTTTTTATATAAAAAACTTTTAAATTATTTTATTTAATTTTTTAAGCATAAAATCGAATATTTTTTCAGTGTACTCATCTCCCAGCTTATTCCCTGCTACAGCCTATTTGAGGGTTTAATGCACTGCCTCCTCGGCCTCAGCCTCCGTCTCCTGCTGCTCCCTGATCCTCCTGCTGCTCCCTGCTACTCCTCCTCCTCCTCCACCTTCTGCTCCTCCTGCCTTTAGTTTGATTGAAGCCAGCAAATTAAAATCCCCTGCCAGGCGCTCCTCGCCAGAGATATCCCTCCATTCACTCGGCGGTGGTGGTGGCATTCCAAATGCAATTCTCACGATTTGGCAGCCATTTGTGTACCTCGGGCCTCATCATCTCCTTGTAAGCTGCTCATTTGGCCTCATGGCACAGATGCTGCTCCCCGGTCAAATTAACCATTTAAATAAAACATTTGTTTTGATTTGCAAAGGCGAGGAGTCAGAGAGGAGGAGGATCTGGATCTGGATTTGGACTTGAACATGGATGAGGGATGCCAACAAGCTGGCTGACAGGCGTGCGGAAATCGCCGCCAATTCGAAAAGGGACTTAAACCAGACTTCATTTTCCATACATATATATAATATATATAATTATATATGTATGTGTACTCCAGGTGTCTTTCTTAGATTTGTCACGCAATCGTTATTTTTTTTATTTTTTACTGAGAATAAAGTTATTTTTCTTGGACACAAAAATTATTATTATTATTTGAAACTTGTTGAATTTATTATTACTATATATTTTATAATTTTAATTTATTTAATATATATTTTTTTAAAATAATTAAGCAACTTACTTAACATTTTTGATAATTAAGAAATATTTTTTAAATTATTTCTAATGAGAAATGTTTTTCCTTCTACACAAAAATTATTATTATTATTATTTAAAACGTTGAAATTATTATTTTTATATTATTTTACTTTAATTTATTTAATATATATTTTAAAAATAATTAAGCAACCTTACAAATTTCCCCATAAAAGAGAAAGAGCTCCAAAAAGTACAGACATTTAAAAATTTTTTGGTGAATGAATAAATTTTTTCCTTAATTATTTCAAGTGGGGGGGTCATAACAAATTGTGTGTTTAAAATGTGATTTTGAGATGTTCATAAAATTTGCTTTTGCGGCCATTAAAATGAATATAAATTGCATGGAAATGGAAATGGAATTCATTACCGTCGCCGGACAAGTGGCGAGATTTCAGGAAGGCGGAATGCCGGCTAGAACCGATGGCCCAAATTATCATTTATTAATTATGGTTTAATTTGTGTGGGAAGGCGGCAGATCAAAAATAAACAAAAAAGAATATTATATATACAACAACAAAAAGAGCAGAAAACAAAAACAAATAATAAATTCGGAGCCGGGCACATTAAAATGCAAATCAAAGCCAATAAAGCACAACTCATTAAAAGCGCAACTAGGCGGTTAACAACCCGATTGATCCGGCCAAACAAATAAAATAATAATAAAACCAATTCGAATCGAATTTCAACTGAATAATCGTGGCGATCCGAAAAGCCACAAAAATGGCAAAAACCAAGACATCGCCCACGTGCTAAAGTAATAATTTCAAAACGATTCGAACACAACTTGTTTTTGGTTTTTCTACAGAAACTTATAAAACTAAATAAATACTTTTAAAATTAATTTATTATAATTATTATTGCTATGAAATATATTTTCAAACTATTTATTCTTATTTATTATTACTACAATATTTTTTTATAAATCAAATATAAAGCTTAACCAATTTTACTAGCATTTTTTGTACTTTTCCAGGGTATTCCCCTGGTGCTACTATTATTTTCTTCTGTGCCTCGTCTCGTGTCGCCGCCTCTCTGCAATTGTCATTTTCTGGGTAATTTACAACTATAAAATACAAAAGCCGCACCGGGCATAAATCAAGCAAGACGGCTAAAAATAATGGCAAAAGCCGCAAAAAGCTCAACAAACAAATTAAAATAATAAAACACGAAGTAACATCAGAAACAAAGCATACACACACGAGTTAAATTATTTAATTTATGAATGACATAAAGTTTAATTTGAATGTTATGTCTGTCGCTGGTAACCGAAACCAAGACCGACACGTGATCGAAATACCATATTGATCGATCGATGATGGCCCAAGTTAAAGCCTCTCTCGGTGGCCAGGAGTCGGAGTCCCTCTGCAACACAAATTGTGGCCACTTTATGGGGATTGTTAGCTGTCCGCGGAATCGCTGTTAATTCGCAATTAAAATGCGCCGCACAAGTCAGCCAAATGTCATTCCCTGACATTTTCCCCCAATCCGAAGACTATCAATACATATAAATATATAGTATGGTATAGGATCTATATATCTAGACATCAAAGGGCCCGCAGAAATGATCGACAGAAGAGAGGCAGGCTCTGACAGATATTCCGCCAAGGCTATATACGGTCATAATGGAGCAGTAATAAGAATCGGTAAATATATATAAATATTGTGGCAGACAAATAATGCACTTTCTGGATGATTTCTTGAATTTACCACTGCGTCTTTATTTTCTCAACTTCTTTATTTTACGCCGTCACACAGAATGGCAGAATTAGCGATGCGCTTTCTGACCTATGTTATTTTACATCGGCTTAACAGACTAAACATCGGTATCTTATAAGTATCGGTATTAGTGTTAAACTATCGGTATAGCCTACTACAATTCGGCCATCCTGACGATACGGATCCCCTGATCCTGGTTTCTTATGAACTAGACATTATTTGTATTAATTTGTTCAACAACTTATCCAATAACAATAGTTTAGTATACATTATTCTTTTAATTATTATTATCTTTTTTTTTTTTAAGGATTTGTTTGTTTTCCTATCCAAGGTCTTATGTTTTGAGCACTCCATACACCCTTGTATGGATTTCGTGAAACTTGGAAACCTTCAACATCCTCTAGCAAGAACCTGTCATTACGCAGTAGTTTAGCAATCATGTATGGGCCTTTGTTCTTTGGGATCAACTTCCTAGCAACCCCCGCAGTGCTGTCAAAATTTTTGACCATTACGTAATCTCCTTTAGCATAATCCTTTGGCTTTTTCTTTGTTTTATCATAATATGTTTCGTTGTATGCCTGTGCTCGATTTTGGTTTTCCATTGCCAGTCTTCTTATTTCCTCTAAACTTTCTACTTGGGTTGTGTCGTTAATTTCTTCTAATTTTTCCCTAAGCTCATCAATAATTTGGCCTTTCTGCTCTACACCAAAGAGCACCTTACTAGGAACTTGTTTAATGCTTCTGTGTACAGTGTTGTTGAGTGCATATTCTACTTGTTCGATTACATTATCCCAGTGTATACCATTTTCAGGCTCAGTTAACTTTGCTATCATTGGTCCTATTGTCCTGTTAATCCGTTCCACTTGTCCATTTGCTTGCGGAGAACCTGTCGCTATTTTGAGATGTTTAATGTTTGCTTCTGTTAAAAATTGTCCGAATTCGTTAGATGTGAAACAACTGCCTCTATCAGAAACTATACATTTTGGCTTGCTATAAGCCCTGAAATAATCCGATAAAGCTTTTAGAACTTCTTTTGTGCTTGTTGTCTTGGTTGGATATAATCTAACGAATTTCGTAAATCCATCTACTATAAGAAATATGTGTTTATTCGCCCTTCCTGCGGCCACTGGTCCGTAATGGTCGATGTGTAATAGCTCAAATGGCTTATCGCCTTTAGGAATGCTGTGAAGGAAACCTTCCGATTTACCTGTGTTTGGAGAGAAAGCTACACATTTTAGGCAATTCTCGATGTGATTCTTACATTTGTCTTTGATATTTTTAAACCAATAGCTCCTCGAAATAGCGTCTACCATCTTATCTCTACCAATGTGACCAAGTTCATTATGATATTTGTGCAAAACGGGACCTTCCATGTCCTCAGGGACATAAAATAATAAACGATCGTCAACTGTTTTTCTGTATACAACGCCATTTCTCATTTCGAACAGTTTGTGCTGATTCTTTTCTAACTCTTCTTTGATTTGCTGTATTTTTATATCTTTCGATTGACAAATTAAAAGATTGTCCTCAAAAGTAGTGGTTTCTACAATCAAAATATTGCATCTGCTCAGAGCATCTACGTGTTGCATCTTTGTTCCGGATCTATGAATCAGTTCATAATCATAATTTTGAAGTTCAAGTGCCCATCGGGCGATTCTAGGATTCAGTTCGACTCTGTTTAAAGTCAACGTTAAAGAATTGCAATCTGTTATTATTTTAAAATGCCTCCCTTGTAAATAGATCCGAAACCTACGCAGGGCATAGATAATAGCTAGAGTTTCTAGCTCAAAGCTGTGATACTTGGCTTCAGTCTCAGTACTTCGTTTCGAAAAATAGAACACGGGGTGAAGTTTTCCATCTCCTTTCCTTTGCATTAAAACTGCACCAAAACCCATCGCGCTTGCATCGCAATGCAATTCAACCTCATCCTTGTGATTATAAATTGCTAAAACAGGTGACTCTATCAGTTTTTTCTTAAGGTTTAAAAAACAGTTAAGTTCTCTTTCTTCAAAAGAAAATTCTTTGTCTTTCTTTAAAATGTCATACAGAGGCTTAGCTAATGTAGAAAAATCTTTTATGAACCTTCTAAAATAAGAACATAGTCCTAAGAAACTTTGAACGTTGTGCACTTTTTCAGGAATTGGAAAGTTTGTGATTGCATCGATACCTCTATCATCTGCTCTGATTCCTTCTTTAGAAATAAGGAATCCAAGGTACTTAATGCTGGATTGCATGAACTCGCATTTGTCCATACGAAGTTCTAACTTGTTACTAATCAGTCTTTTAAACACTTCTCTCAATGTTTCTAAATGTTCTTCTATATCTGCACTGGCTATCATTATGTCGTCCATGTATACTATGACCTTGTTTTCGCGTATTAAATCAGCAAAAATTTTGTTTACAAAGCGCTGAAATACTGCTGATGCATTCTTGATACCCATAGGCATCCTTAAAAATTCAAATTGCCCTAATGGAGTTACGAATGACGTATATTTAACTGAATCATCGCCAACGAATACGTGAAAATATCCATTTTTTAAGTCGAGCTTTGAAAACACTTTTTTATTCACTAACTTGTCTAAAAGATCATCTATTAAAGGCAACGGATAATTGTCCTTTATCAAAACTTTGTTCAATTTTCGATAGTCTATGCATAAACGCAAATCTCCTGTTTTTTTCTTTACCAGTACAATGGGAGAAGCATATTCTGAATCACTGTTTCTTATTATGCCTTTGTCTAAATATTCGTCTAATAATTTCTGAAGCTGCTCCTTTTCACTAAAAGAAAGTCGCCTAGGTGAGCAACTGAAAGGTTTGGATTTCTCTAAACAAATTTTCATCTCGCATCTGGTAAACGGAGTATCTGGTCTCTTTGCGTTAACATATGACTCTTCAAACATCTTAATAAATTTGCACTTCGTTTCATAGCTTACATCGCACCCACAGTTGTAGTCTGAAAATTGATCATCAACTACGTTAATGTTTAGCATCTCGGTTTCAAAATCGTCTGCTAAAATTTCTGTTTTTTCATTAAAAGTATCGCTCTCTACACTTTTTCCGTTATGTGTTTCCTGTTCTCTAAAATTTCTTTCAACATTTACACCTCCTAGTAATTTTCCCATAATAGTTGACTTTTCTAATAATTTTTCCTCAGGAGATTCATTTTCTAAAAATTTTTCCGTAACCATCGCTTTTTTTAACAATTTTTCCTTAACAGTTGCATTTTCTAACAATTTTTCCTTAACAGTTGCATTTTCTAACAATTTTTCCTTAACAGTTGCATTTTCTAACAATTTTTCCTTAACAGTTGCATTTTCTAACAATTTTTCCTTAACAGTTGCATTTTCTAACAATTTTTCCTTAACAGTTTCATTTTCCATAACAGTTGAATTTCCTAACAGTTTTTTCATAACAATTTCATTTTCTAATACAGTTTCGCTGGAGTCGCGATTGGCTACTACGGCGGTTGCTAGTTGCTGATCCTTTTCCCCATGTGCTTCAATCGTATTATTAATATCTCTATTTATGTTGAGGGTGTCCAGATTCATGCTCAGACCATATTGATTCATAAAATCCCTTCCCAGAACTACATCGTGTCTCATTGATTCATTAGCAACGACAATCATCTCAAATTTAATCTTTATTTTTCCTTTTAAAATGAAACAAAACGTTTTTCCAAAAACTTTAAGTTGGCTTTTGTTTAGCCCATGATACACTTGGTCAACTGCTTTTAATGCTACTTCAAATGGAATTCTTGACTGCTTAATGAATGAGATTGCGCTTCCTGAATCTATGAGACATTCTGCAACAATAGGTAAATTATTGAAAGAAATGAAAAAAATTTGTAACCGTCTTACATAATCGTTAACGTTGCTGCTGTTGTTGCTCTTCCTCAGACGGCATTCTCCCACAAAATGGCCCATCTCTCCACAAGCGAAACACGATCCAGGTGCCCTTGCTGGCTTGCGGCAGTCCTTGGCGAAATGGCCTTTAGAGTTGCAGTTCCTGCAGCGCAGGTTGTTGACGTCCGCCGCCGCCGACATTGACTTCTTCGGTGCGTAGACTCCGGCTTGTTGCGGTAGGCGTACATTGGCGAATGCTAGTAGCATTTGCTCCGGATTGGCGAACCTTTGGATGCGGGCTTGATCACGCAAGCTCGCCGACGGGATTCCCTCGATGAGTTGTTCCAGCAGTTCCTCCATATCCATGTTGATGGTTTGGGACATCATTACCTTCTCTTCGAAATACATTGTAAAACGCTCGTTCCTTTGCCATTTGCGTTGCTCAAACTTTCGACGCAGCTCCGATTTGGACGCTGTTTCTCCAAATGCAATGATCAGTTGCTCGCACAGCCTGTCGAAAGACTCCAGCATTCGAGTTGGGTTGGCGTGTAGCCAACGCTGTGCATTGCCTTTTAGTTTGGTAACGAGCAACATTCGTAGGCAGTCATCATTTAGATGGTAGATCTGGCCTATGTTTTTAACGTGATCCACCCAGTTGCGTGCGCAAATATTTCCTTCGAAATCGATGGCAGCTTCCTTGGCATAAGAGAGTGATGCCGCTGATCCAACCCTGGTAAATGGTCTCTCTTCCTGGTTGTCGTCGGCGTTGCCACATAGTCCGTTTCTGATGGTGAATTCTGGGACGTTCACATTGCCAGCGTTGCCACTCAGTAACGTTCCAATTGGGTTCACAGGGACGCTCAAATTTCCGCTGTTGCCGACTGCCTGATCTTGTTGTATTTGTATGGCGTCGCGCGCCTCTTCTTGCTGTTGTGTGTGTGTGGCGATGTGTGTCTCTTCTTGCTGATGTAGGTCTGTGGCGACGCTTGTCTCTTCTAGCTGTTGCATTTGTATTTGTTGGATGGCGTTGAGCTCCTCGATTTGTTGTTGCTGTATGGCGCCGCGCTCTTCTGCTCGGTGCAACGCATTTTGCTGCGCAAGAAGTGCTGCCCGCAGCTGCGTGATGATTCCAAGAAGTTCGTCATGTTCTGGAACATTCTCGGAAGCGCCTTCCTGCGACGTCGCTTGCCCTGGATTTTCAGGATCGGTGTTGACCAACTGGAGTCCAGTGCCGGCGGCGCCAGGCTCATCTTCTCCGAAATTCTGGCCGGTTTCTTCGTCTGGTACTTGGCCTCGAATTTCAAGCGGTATTTGCCCAAGACGGGCCATCAATTCGGCTTTTGCACCTTGGGTTGACAAACCCAACGCTGAAAGCCATCTTTTTAGCTGGATGACCGAAAATGCGTTTAAATTAGCTTCATTCATATTCATGGCGTAGATTTGACCACTTCTGAATTTGTGGCAGACAAATAATGCACTTTCTGGATGATTTCTTGAATTTACCACTGCGTCTTTATTTTCTCAACTTCTTTATTTTACGCCGTCACACAGAATGGCAGAATTAGCGATGCGCTTTCTGACCTATGTTATTTTACATCGGCTTAACAGACTAAACATCGGTATCTTATAAGTATCGGTATTAGTGTTAAACTATCGGTATAGCCTACTACAATATTTAGTACTTACCTTGTCAATATTTACAAATAAAAGCATTTAAATTTCATTGAAAAAAACTTACGTTTTATTGACTAAACTCACAAGAAGAAGGCAAAAACATAGAATAAATAATTTATAAACGTTTTTGGGGAAATATTCCTCAATCAGTTTCATAGACTTGTGTCTAATTTTGCTAATTTTGCTCTCGCAATGGACCAAAAAAAATTTACAAAAAAAAAATATGTTTGTATATATATATTACGTATACGTAACTCTCTTGTGCGTTTTGCGTTCTAAATGGGCAGCACTGGGCTCTATAGGCTATAGATAGGCTCTAATTATAGGAAACTCTGTAAGCGGCGTATACTTTTCGAAAGCACCTAAACTTAAGTTACGATCTAGCGAAATATCAAATAGTATTTGGGTTGCAATTTGACTTCTCCTGCTCCTGCTCTAGCTTCTCCTCCGATCTGATCTGTGCTCCTTCTGCAGCTCGTCTCAAAGAGACCCAAAAAACTCTCACAAAAAAAATTAACCAAAAAAAAAGGCAACTTAAAGGCAAACCCCCCCTTTGTGCTCTCTACCCCCTGCAGCTGCCACAGATCCTCATCGGTCCTCCTCGGCCTTACAGCTCCTCCAAGCAACGGACATTGGTCAGCATAATCCGCGTCAGCCGCCAGACCTGCTTGGCGGCGTTCTCGAGGGCGCCGGGCGACTTGCCCTTGAACAGATCCATATTGGGCAGGAAGTAGTGCGGACAGCGGCGGCACTGCAGGCACGAGATCAGCTGCAGGAAGATGCCATTGATGCGGTCCGCGATGCAGTTCTCCTCCCACTCCATCTCGCGCGGATGCTTCTCGCACTCGTACAGCAGCAGGGTCTTCAGATGGTACGATGTCACCGGGTTGCCGGGCAGGTCCAAATGCCGGTCGCGCAGGGTCTTCAGGATGCTCAGGCAGCGGCGGCGACTAGCTCCTGGAATTGAGAATTTGGTGGAATTGGAATTGTGAATGAGTTCAAGCTAAGATAAAGAATCATATTATGATGGGTTTGGGAATATAGGTTTTCTATGTCCTATAAGAATTTGTATTCTTTGAATTTCTTTTGAGATTGCAGTAAGTACTGGGGCTAAAAGGGTATATTTTAACCTTAACCTGATCTTAACTTGGGAATAATTCTTGAATGGATTGGCCAAAAATCAAGTCAATAGCTTTTTGTTCAACCTAAGAGATATCAGATATCTTGTATATCTTCTTCAGTTCTTCAGATTTTCCATTGATCAATGCCTCAATCTGTTTTCAAACGAAATAATATTGGCAGAGCATATAGCTTCGTTCATTCTTTGTCAGGTAAACACAAACTGATCGATGGGTTCGGTCATTAGTACTCCTTCTATCTCAAGTACATCGCTCTCTATTCGTTTCGGTAAGTGTTTTGGCTACTCCAGAGCTTGTGCCTTTCAACTGACTCATCCAATACAAGAACTAAAGCCTTTAATGATCAAAGATATGCTGGGTGTCCACTTAATTGACATTGATTAAATATATATATATATATGTATATAAAGTAGTGCTTGGCATGACTAATATTAGCTAGGTTTTAAAAAGGTTCTAGGAATAAGAATATCTAAGAAATCGATGAAAATCGAATAGATATCGTTGAAATTCGATTGTATTGATATATTAAATAATCGATAGACATTTTCCAACTAGCCAACGCTAAGAAAAAATATTTTTAAAATATTTCGATGCTATTAAAAAATATAAAGTTTTATATAAACATTTTTTAATTATATTTTAGTAATGTACTTTACTTGCTATCGATATTATCGATATTTTTTGTAGATCTAAACTAAATATAATTTTGAGCTAGAGAATAAAGAGGAACTTTGAAGGCTTTTAAATAACAAATATCATAGTGTTTACATATATTCAAATCCAAATTATCGATATCAGCAATATGCTTTACTTGATTATCGATATCAACACCTATTTATCGACTTCATTTTAAAACTAAACTAAATATAACTCTTTGTAACCCTCTTCCTGGCTCGACTTTGATTGATCTACCATTTGGACGCGAGTACTTATGATTTTGGCTTCAATCTCTCCTCCGAGAGCTGTATACATACATATATGTCCGGCCGATCCGATTCCTAATTTATTACGGCCGAGTGCTTTGGAGCACATAAATCATGGGGCTACGTTGGCACTGTGTCACAACGAGCTAATCTCGGCTCCCGGGCCGATAATCACGTCTAGTTCGGCTCCGGGTTTCGCCTCACACATTTCGGCTAATCAATATTGAACGATATTGCCACAATATTGGCACTGCGAATCAGGGCACTCAAGAGGTCCCGTTCATGTCAAGTGGGAGAACGGTAGGTATTAGGTACATACGTAATTCGGGGCAAGTGACAGTGCTAATTATAGCCACCAACCGATATGGTTATCCCATAAGGCAGGGCGAGGAAAGTTAGTCAGAGTCTCTGGGGTCTGGTTGGGGCATTAAATTAAATGACAAACACGCGGGGGAACATGCTGGAGATGGAGATCAATATCGATCGGCAATCGGAATCGGAGATCGTTGTCAGGGCCTTAGAATTGATTTCGATTTGGTTTCGGTCTCTGGTATCTGTTTTCATTTTTGTTTTGTTTTTGGCTCTCATCTCCCCAGCTTTTGGTTACTCTTTCTTTCTTTCTTTCTTTCCCTCTTATTCTTTTCTTTCTATCCCTCCCTCCCATTTATTTACTTTTTTTCTGGTTGGTTTCTGTGTGTCATCTCATGCCTGGCCCGCTGTTGTTTTATTTATTTGTTGACTTTATCTAATCGCCGAGATTTAAAATATTTATAAAATCGTTTAGAAATTTATTTATGGCCCAGCCATTGGCATTGTTCATGTGGAAACCCGTTTTCCGTTGGCCGTAAGTCCGACCAACTAACAGTCTAGCGGCTGGAGCTGGAACTGGGACCAGGGACTGCGACTACCGCGAGACTGCGCTTATCTCTCGGGGATCAGCAGATTTGTGTGCGTTGTCGCTGTGCTGCGACCGAAAAAAAAACTGAGAAACTGAGAACTGGTAACGGAGAACCATGAACGGAGTATGGAGCATTTCAAGACCCAACCCGGAGTCTCGGTTTGGAGTCACCTCTCCGTGGCAGTAACCCCCCCAGTGATCGGACGCCAGATTTATGATCGTAGCCAACCGGGCGTCGCTGGCTCGTATCTCACATCATATCGGGCCCCGATAATCGGATGTCTCGTTGGGCAGTCGTCGACTCAGTCCCCGCCGATCACCGATCACCGATCAGTAATCATCGATCACTAATCATCGATCGCGACGATGCCTCTTATCGCGCTGCCTAATTGAATCTGCAAAGCACTTTTTACCCCGAACTATGCTAAATCTCTGAGGACTGGCCTACAAAGGAATAACTATCTTTTAGAAAAAAAAAGTATATCCCTCATAAAGTTCCAGATGTCTATGCTTTTATAAGCAGATATGTAGAAGATGAAATTTTTTTAATATATAAATCGTACCCAAAGTATCCTTGAATAAATTATGTTATAATCTTGAAATATATAATATCTATTAGAAACACTCTTCTTGATAGAATATTGTACAGATATATGGAGACATAATTCCATAGCTGGCTGATATTTCAGTAACCTCAAGAGCTCCTTGATTTATATTTTTATGCCCCAAAATGGAATTTCCACCAGTTCCAACCATTCTTCTTCTTTCATTCAGATCTAGCTTAACGATCTCTGAAATTTATACGGCGTCCCCCGAATGGCGTTTAATTTACAACCAATTACGGGCGTATCGAGACCAAGTCGCTGATTTGATGGGAATAAATCAATTCAGTTTAAGTGTGTCACTGATTACTGATTGGGGGACACGCTGGGAATACTACGCAAACATGTCCGAAATACGGGAGCTACTCACTGAACACTGGGAAAAAAATACAGCTTAGTTCTAAGAGTATATAATTATTATTATTAAGAAATTAACGAGTAATTCAAATTGCAAGAAATTTTAATTTAGCTAAAGCAACTTCAGGCCTTAAGCTAAGTTATAAGAGTTATAAGAAATATAAAACTTATAACAGTTGTAGTTTTCATGGATATTACTTAAAATATATCGATTGAAGTATTGCTAATAATACTTGGTGGGAAGGCTTGATTTTTTACAGTTAGTTTTTGAGAAGTTTTAACTACATCCTAAAGGAATTTTGGAGAAATTGCATCTTGTTAAAACTTTCTTAGATGTGAAAGATATAACATTTATAACAGTTGATAGTTTTTGAGAAGCTTGAACTAAATTTTAAATATATATATCTTGTTAAAACTCTCTTAGCTTTTCGGGTCTATGTAATATCTAATAATTATATCTTAGTAAAAATACACGACCGGATGTGTTCTTTAAACTCCTTATAACTACAACTTCTTGCAATCGATGCTTGGATATATTTTGGAAATATTTTTATATACTACCGGAATGAAGTACTATATATAATCCACGTTTTATTATATCCCCTAATCCGAAATTAATAGGCAAAACCCATTTTTTTAGCTAACTTTTCTTAACATTCACAACGACAAATGCCGTCGGCAAACGGAAACTCACCTTGCAGCAGCCGGTTCTCGGCATCGGTGAAGCTGAGCACCCAGGCATCGCCCTCCATGGCCGAGTTCTTGCCTTGCAGGGCGATGCACTCTTTGGAGAGCATGTCGAAGCCCTCGGTCTTGACCTCCGCCACGATGTTGGGATGCGGCCAGGGTATCCCAGGCAGGGGCCAGTGCGAGGCAGAACGCGGCCAGAGGCCGGCACACTTGAAGGCGGGCGTGATCTGGACAATGATGCGCTCTCGGATGCGCAGCTTCACCTCCGTGGTGTCGGCGATCATCTTGACGATGTCACGGTAGGCGCACTTGTCGCACGCCTGCGCCACCAGTGTCTGGAAGCGGGAGCGGATCTTTCTGGCCGACAAATAGCCGCTGGCCGTGATGAACTCCACCCACAGGGACATGGAGCGCTTCCGGCCGTCGCTGAGCTTGAGGACAGCACAGCCCGGCAAGGTGCCATCGTCCACGAAATTCAGAACACCCATCTGGTTGAGGTAGATGATGATCTCGAATTCCGTGGGCGAGATGACCTCCAGGCCCTCGAAGCGGCCATTGTAGTCGTTCAGCGAGGAGATGAAGCGCGGCTCCTGCACCTCTACCTCCTTGAGCACGTCCTGGACGATGCGGCAGACCTCCTGGATCTGTTTGTGGATCTGCGCTTTGCGCACCTGGACCCGGTCCGCGCAATACTTGTTCATCTGGTAGACCATCTTGGACTGTGCCGCGATCATGTCCGACGGCACTAGCATGGTTCTCCTGAATGTCCCGGTCCCAATCCCGATCCCGGCGGCGGCAACTGCTGCTCCTACGGCTTAGTCTCGGCTGGCTGCTGCTGCTCTGGGTAACTGCTCTTTGCACTCATTACCTAGGGGCACACATGGGGGTCACCGGTCACCGCACACACACACACAACAAAAAAGATTCGAAGCGAGAGGGGGACAAGGAACGACAGGCGACGGACGGCACTCGGCTTAGAATTCCCAAGTTCTGATATTGCACGTTCAGTTTGACTTTTGGCGCTTTTCTTCGCTTTTCACGGCACAGTTTATGGGGTTTTCTTTCTGTTCTCTCCGCTCCTCAGTTTCCTCTACGCTTCGCTTTTCCGGCGTCTTTTCGCGCCGTCAACTGAACATTGACTGATTCCGCATGGCGTTCGCACCGCAAGAAAAGTGTCTCTGCCGCCGCCTCCTCTGCCGCGGCCGGCTTCGCTGTCGCTGCTGGCTCCATTTGCCGGGTGCAAGCGAGACGGCCCTCGCCACGCGCTGGCCAACTCGTGTGCGCTCGCTCTCTCTCTCGCCCCCAAGCAATCATGGCTGGAGCTGCGAGAGAGCCTTTGCCTGTGCAGTGCTCACTCTCCGCGGCATGCACTCAGAAAAACAACGGATATTGTATTAATAAATGTTAATTTAAATAAAAATAAAGTAACATATTAATATATATAAAAAAGTAATATATTACTATAAAAATGGTTATAGTTATACATTAATTACAATAATTTTAAATATACTTTTTTCATTTTTTAACTAATTTACTAAGTATTTTCATTAATAAAGGTAATAAACTTTAAACAACTAATGCATTTGGTTGCAATTTATTATTTACTTATTTATCTCTCCTTTTTTGCTCAGTGTAAATTGCATAAAACACTTCTCGCCTTGTCTGTTGTGTTGATCTTGGCGGCTATAGTTTTTTTTTTTGTTAACTTTAGTCCGGCATTAAAATTAAACCACCCCGCGTCTCTCATTGGCTCCGCCCTCTTCCTTGACTCTCTCGGGCACACGCACACATGCGCAATGGGTACTGCCGCTTCCACACAGATAAGCACCCATACAGCTGCCCTTGCCGTTTGTTTGTTTTGGCTCTCCGGCTCCGTGGCTCTTTGGGGGTGTTCTTCCTGTCCCTCTGGCTGTGGGTGGACACGGTTGGCTGGCTAACTGAGTTATTGGGGGGGATTTTTGGGATATCAGGACCGGGTAAAGGGGCCTTCTGGCTTGAGGGAGGGTTGGAGGTAACTTTTGGAGCTCAACTAGCAGATTAAAACTATTGATTTGGTGACTTTTTCCGGTAGAAATGGTGACCCCATTTTGGGGGCTAAGAAAAGAGCTTTGGAAAAGATTTAGGAACATTTTAAAATGAACTAAGATTTAAGAGAAAAATTTTAAGTTTATGTAGTAAAAAACAATTAAAGGTTTGGTAAAGTTATTTAAAGTTTCGTAAACAAATATAAACAAAATAAAATTAGGAAAAAGCCTATCATGTAGAAAATAATGGATTTTTGCAATAAAATGTATGTATTATAATACTTTTAAATATTATGTAATACATTTTTAAACATTTATAAATGGAGAACTTAATCGGCATTAAGAAAATATCTAAAAAGTGACTTTTTTAAGAACAAATAACTCTATTGTTTTGTAGAAATATTATAACTTTTGCATATCTTCATATACTCAAAAACAAACATGTTGAAAGAACATTGAAAAATAGTTCTAACTTTATACAAAAAGTAAACCAAAAGCTCTTTGGCTCGTAAGTTGCCTTATTTATTGTGTAGAGTCTTCTGTTTAAATGGAAAACCCATCGAAACCAAGTTATATATCTGCCGAACGCTGAGTAATTAATTTTCCCGGGAAAATATCCTATAAGAAATGGGTATTGTACCTTCTCCTTTCAGCCAAAGAAGAAGTCTCTATTTATCTGACTCCCACCACCATCTTTTGGTGGGTATCGTTGCCGCCTCCCTTTCTTTTTACTACACGCCATATCTCGGGATTCCTTACCGAATTAATGCATATCTAATGTGATTAATGAGCGTTTAACACGAGCTTGTTGGACTCCACTCCACGTCCAGGCCACGTCCAGTCCACCATATTTTTTGTGGTTCCAGGGTGGGGCCTTCACTTATACCGGGGGTCACCACTTATTATACTATACTTGGCAATGACCTGTCCAGTCGAACATTAAGTTGCACTTTAAAGAGCGGCGGACAAATTATTATGTATAATTCAATTTGAACTGTGTGCCGGAACGTGCATTAAGATAATGCTAATTAACACCTCGGGGCAGGAGTCCGACTCAAACTGGGACTCTACGCCTATATATGCCACTCTCTTGGCTCTTTCTTCTTCTCCGATAAGACCCGAAATGGAGCCTGGCCACGGGGGGAATGGGAATGGAACTGGGAATGGATATGGAAATGGAAATGGTGATGGTGATGGAGAGGAGCTGCTGATAGGCAACACTACATTGCGGGGCTGAAAAATGCGGTTGGAATCATTTTAATGGCCGCGTAAATGTGGAAAATTATCAAAGGAACACGAACTTAATTGCGGCCATTATCGCTTTTATGGCATATAAATTGGAAATGAATTATGCAACAGGAGAGTCAGGCCCAAGGAGCCAGAGCGAGGTCTTCATTAGTGCTCAAGGTCAGGCGCTGTTAGCTTCTTTATATTTGTAGGTATATATCGGTTGTAATATATAGCTTTATCACCGATCGATGTGCAGGATTTATGCGTGTCAGGAGCAGCTATCGATTGACAGCGATATTTTTTACCGATTGCCCGGTAGTCGCGTCTTTAATTAAATTGTGTATGTTGCAAGTGTGTTGCGGCTGGATTCTCCCAAAAAAACGACTTCATCTGGGTTTCTCTGGAGGCTTCTTCGTTTATCAGATGCACGAGATCTGCACCTTCAATCCCTTCCTGCTTCGCCACGGCAAGAAATACTCATTAGTTTCTTTAAAAAAATTAAAATAATTTAAAAAAGTTTACCAGAAACCTAGGTAATATGTCCTGTAATCCTTGATTATATTTCAAATGTATAGTTTATTTTTATTTAATATATTTACATATATCTTTGTTTTGCTCCTATATTATTTCCAGTGCCCTCACATACGCTTTGTGGTTCTGCGGCTCAGCTCCAAAATGACCAAATGGCGGAAAATTAAGCCGGAGCAGGAGGAAAAGGAGGAACAAGGAGCAGCAGCAAACACAGAAGCGACAACTGCAGCACAGAGATTGCAATCGCTGGCAGGCTACATCCCTTTTTCCTTGCCAGCAGCTGCCGCTGCTGCTGCTGGTGCTGCTGTTCCTACACGACACTCTGACCCCCTCCTGTCTGCGCCTTCGTCCTTTCCCCTAACCATTCCCAGAGTCACCCCTTACTTTATCCACTTCGTGGCGCTTTCGCACGGCCGACACTTTGACGGGGACAAGTTCATTTATCCGGAGATGAAAGGACCAGATATAGCCAGGTTGTGTCAGCTTCCTTCCAGTAAGTTCTACAACATTAACAAGATTTTACAGTTAAAAACTTTAGCTTTTTAGTGGTTTTATAGTGTTTTATGGTGCGGATTTTAGTTCTTATTTAATTTTTGATTCAATATTTATTTATTTATGTTTAATATTTTTATTTATATTTATTTTTGTCAGACATTTGGTACAGTTACGTCACGATTTCACCCCGAAAGCTCAATAAAAAACTTCACTACCTTTCAAAATGTATACTTGCCAATATCTAAACTACATTCTTTAACAAAATAATAAACATTTTCGCTAAATTTAAATAAATCTGAACCTTTTCTTATGTTTAAAATGAGTTCAATTATATATCATGCTAAAAAATATCTTTATTTTGATCTTAAAAAACCAATAAAAACTATCAATTTTATTAAGAAATGTATATATTCCTAGAAACCACCACACACGATCGTTTTTATTTATATATTTTTTTTTTAAGTAGAGAAGCTTGGATTACCTGGAGTGCATGTCTCATTGGATTACCTCAATGGGGCCCTTGCTCAGTGACATTTCCCCCAAACTCTCGTGGCCCTTGGGCTCCATAATGAATGACGGAGTAAAGAAAGGACTGAGACCCGGCTTAATTAGGCCAAACAAAGATGCACCTTGCCATGGCTCAACGCTCATCGATCATTTTCCGATTGAACTGGCCGAGCCCAGATAATCCCTGAGAATATACGTAAAAAAAAGAACCTCTTTTAAACCCTTTTCAGCAGCCTTTCTTCTTACATTTTTTCAGTGACAGAAAAAAGGAGAGAATAGAAAGACAGAAAAAATATATATAAACTTTCTTGGTTAAAAAGTGTATTAGTTTAGGTTTTAATTTTAGTTGTATGCCTTAAAAATGTTGTTTACATGGTTAAATAAGGAATAAAATGTAATAAAAACAAGGTCAATATTGGGCCACAGCCTCTAAATACGATGAGAAATTACCAGCACTGCCTTAAGCCATTGTGCAGTGGAGTTTGTCATTCGATATGATGGCCCCGTTGACAGGGGATTGTTTTGTTCAATTCCAAACCGATGAAGACAGCCGCGCTCAGGCCTGGCGCTTGTCTACATATACATATGCACATATATACACGTATATATATGCTCCTGATTCCTGGCCCTATCCCCCTGACTTAACCTGGCTCTTGTGGCATGTGCAAAGGTCAGCTGGCTGCAATGGCGAGGGCATTGGCATTCCTCGGCGGTTGGCATTTACCTGGGCCTCCTAACCTCTCTCTCTCACTCCCTCTCTCTTTCTCTCGCGGGGGCCACCTCCACCGATCTCACCAACTGGCCAAGTGGCGCCTGCATCCCGTCGTGCGTCGTCTGCATATGCGGAATATGCGTGAGCGTCGCCACGAAATGAAACTGAAGAACAAGCTGGTCAGGGAGAGGGAGTCCGAGTCCGAGTCGGAGTCGGAGTCGGAGTCGATGCTGGATGGCCCCTACTCCAAATCTTGGAGCTCTGCTCTCCCTCCCATTAAAATCAGCGACATGCGGTTAAATATGCTTAAGTTTTTCCGCGGACAACTTGAAATTAAGTAGATGCCGGAGCCAGAGCCAGAGCCAGGTAACATAAGAGCATGCAAATTGCAACGCCACCGATGCCCCGCCGCCCGAGGAGGGTCCTCCTGGTTGGACAGGTCCCGTGTAGTTGGCTCGATTTATATTTTGTTTGGTCAGAGGAAATATCAACGCGTTTGCGTAAACGCTGGCTTAATCCATTCATTACGGCCATTAGGCTTTGTACGGCCTCGCTCCATGCTCCAAGCTCCTCCATGCACCTCCAAGCCCCTCCTCCTCCCAGCGAGATGACAGGCAGGGCCCAATAATTGCAG